AGGAATAGCCAGAACTGAGGACTAAACACTGTGGTGGGTCCCTGGGTCAAAAGGCAACAATGCGGTGAAGACCACATTCCAGGGAGCCTTCATTCTTTGGTAGCTTCTTACCTTTGACATTTTTTACATGAAATTTGAATGAGCAAAACAGCATATCCCTAAATGGGGTACCAGGAGCCTGACCTCTGTGATGCTTTTGGAATGGCAAGAATGATAAGGCCATGGGTAGGCACAGAGAGGGCAAGGCCCTTTCAGGATTGACTCAGACATCTGTTTCTAGCTGTTAGCAGAGACCAAAGGAGGAGATTCTAGTTGCTGCAGACATTGTTTTGCAATGAGAAAGGTCAGACAAGGAAAAGCTCGGATATGATTCCTCCCTCTCTCAGACCCAATATCCAAAGGGACTGAACTATTCTCATTCCAACATGTCTCCTGTGTTCCATCACCACTGGCAGGGTCTTCATGTCTTACATTCAGGACCTCGTGGTGTCTCAAGCTGAATAATACAACTCCTCCCTCTTCTACTTTCCACCTGCTTCACTTCATAGTCCCCAAGCCCACTGAGCAATTTTTCCAGAATATAGATCTGACCTTCTCTCTTAATGAAATTCCCAAGTTACAGGACAAGAAGGCCTATTGTGGGCAGAAAGCCTTGCCAGCCTTTCCAGCCTCGATGGAAGCATAGGCAATGGCATCCCACAGATCACAGCCAACTCTAACATTAACCACTTCCTGGGCATGTGTTTCTGTCCCATTTCTACATCTGTACATAGGGAATAACACAAGCACCTTCTCATAACTGCTATAAGGTTAAGTCCAAGTTGTGAAGAGCCTAGCTCTCCAAGAGTGATCAATTCTACCAATCAGTCCCCAGCTGCTCAGCGCGTCCGCTCCTTCCCCACCACCATGCTGTACCACCTCTTTATAATGAATGAACAAGAATTAACACAGAAGAAGGCACATGCACAATCTAAAAGAGGCTATCAAAATGTGAATGAGACCAAAATTAATTCATTATCAAAACCATGTAAGAGGAGGAAAATAAGAAAACATTACTTTTGGGAGAAAATGATTTTAAAATATGTATCTTTATGATGTTTTGGACTTCATTTGTTCCAAAGATTTAGGAAGATGACATTTCAAAGGCTCACAAAGGAGACTTCTATTTTTTAAAAACTATTTCTTAATTAATTTCTTCAGAGAACTAAGAGTACTTTTATAGGCTGACTGAATCTTATTAATTCTCAGAGAAATTCTGGCATCAGTCACAACAAACACCCTCTTGGAATTTAATTCCCTCTTCAGCATACAACTTACTATGGAAACTCATTTATGATGCCACCACAACCAGTCAAAATCTGCCTAGAGCACAGAATCTTCAAAGTCCCAGAAGAGAATCTTACTTAGGACTAGGTGGAAACTAGCCTTATACTTGGTCAAATAGTACATACAACAGAAATTTTCTCCATGTCAAACTTTTCAGCTTCTACCATCAGCCACATTAAACTCTTCCATCTCCTTCCTGCCTCTCTCTGACCAACTATAGCCCTTCCCGTGCCCTCCTTCAGCCCAAGCCCCCCAAATTCAGTGCATTTTCCCTGTCCAATGAATAAAAAAGGAGAGAAGTCCACAAAGAAAAAGAGAAGTCCATGAACAAAAAGAAACTAGCTAAATTCATCAACTTCCTGCCAAAGACTTATTCATTCTGGCTTCTGGTTTCATTCAATTTCTTTTTGGACTAGATGATCACTAGAATATTTACTTAATACACTGGGGTGAGGGCATAAGCTAGAAGAATTATTTATAAGAACAAAAATGTACTTTAAAAGCCTTTTTTCCCTGAGGACAATTCCTACTGGAAGACTTGATCAATCCCATTATCTGGAGTGTGTGAAAGCCACTGAGACAAAGGAGTAGCCAACCTTTACTGAACACCCACTGTAATTCACACATACATCTCACATAAGGCAGATGGCATTGCCCTGATTTTTCATATGAAGAAACCAGACTCAAAGAGGTCAAGGCAATGGGATCAGGATTTACATGCAGGTCACCAGACTCCCTAGACCACTTCTCACTCTGCTTCCTGTGCTTATGTTACAATGTCCTACATTAGAGTACTTTACAGTTTACATGTTTCTTTTCACATACATGATTTCATTTAATTATCACATCCCTGTAGGAAAGCTAAGAATTCCTTTTCCACCATTACAAAATTTTGCTTGGACTCAAAGATCATGAGTAACTTGTACAAACCTGCTACAATACAGAGTTGTGCCCTCACTTGGCTTTTTTCACCTATAAACTGATGTTCCTTCTTACTTCACAGTGCCTAATATATGGCAGGGGCTCAAATGGTGACTATTATTAGCAACATGATTTTTATCAGTTAAAGTAAATTATACACATTCACACTATAGATATTTTAAAGACCCAACATAATTAGTCTTTACTTGGAGAAGACATCATTTCATTTTATCACTACCTCAAATTCAGGGATAACCACTAACACAGCTTTAGCAAGGTCTTAAGCAACTGAGCAAGGCCCTTTCTCAAAATATAAAATAAAAAGGGCTGGGGATGTAGCTCAGCAGTAAAACATCCCTGGCTTCAAAGCCCAGTACCCGCCACCACCATTAAAAAAAAAAGTGTGGTCAAACCCAATATGGATTTTGAAAGTTACTAACAGGAGAAGAGCATTCAGTTGATAGAATACAAAAAATCCTCCCTATCTTCCAGCATCATGACTTGACCATTAATGTGCTATTTAACTGCAGTTATTTTAATTCTGTGATGGTCCTTAACATCCAAAGCATTTCTTAGGAGAGGTTGCTCAGGGACTATGGGGAATAGGAGTGGAGTGGAAAAGATACATATTGTTGGTTCAAGTTATTTTTAACGTGCTGCATCTACCACTGTGGCTTGCCTATTTACTATACTCACTTGAAAAGAAACCAGGTTAATTCAGAAATGCCACATGCAGTGGGAATCAGCTCATTTCCCAGGTCAGAATGGAAAAGATGCAGAATTGTGGTGACATAAGGATCCCAGCATCAATCAAACAGAAAATTTATATTATGGGAATGAGAGGTCCTAGAGGTGTTCTTGGCCTACAGAGACCAATCCAACTGAGCATCCACTCCAGTCTTGAAGGTTTAAAAAAAGAAAAAAAAAAATTCAGGTCCACAGGTAATATTTTCTAAACAAAGCAACTTTATAATAAAGACAAACAGCCAACTGCACCAACTACCTGCATAAGAATAGTATCACAATGTAAAACTAGTATGCAATTATTATCAGCTTTTTGTTTTGCTTTTTGAATATTGCTTCTCGTCTGTTTTCTTTTAAATGTTTCCTAATTTCCTTGTAAAAACAGGCTTAGGTTTATTTTGTGTGACTACTCTGGTCTCACAAGCAAAAAGACTCCATCAGAATATCTTTTTATACCCCATTTCACTGCTAAAATTGAGGCTCAGACAGGGCAAGTGGCTCATCCAAGGTCATACTGCTTAGAAACACATCTAGGCTAGAACAAGAGCTCAAGAGGCCCACAGTCTGAGTCTCCAGCTGCATCACTGCTGCAAATGACCTGGTATACTGGTGTCTTGAATACAAAGTTTATTTGAGAGGAAAAAACAACCAACATGAGTCATCTCCCTTGTCAAGGGGCACCACACAGGTTGTTCTAATAAGGCATTCAGCCTCTTCAAAACCACCTGTTTCTGAAATAACCAGCCTCAGCTAGAGAATAAACGCCATGTCTTCTACCCACAAGCCCATAAGCAGAGGTGTCCTGCAGTTTGGCAGCTTCTACCCCAACCCTGGTGCCTGGGTGTGGGCAGAAACTGGACAGGGAATGGAGTGGGAGGGTATGCGAAGAGATAGGAGCTTTTTTCAGATAGTTATGATTTCATGCTGTTTAATCCTAATTCTACTCACCTTGGAACACCCCTAAGTATATCATCCACTAGGCTGTTCCTCCTCAACTTCCCCAGGGCAAAAACACTGTGCAGTCTCAGAGGTGAATCTGGCAGATGGGAAGGGCGGCACTTGATCCCGGCCGCAGAGGGAGCCAAGCTCAGCTCCCTCCCTGCCCACCCTTACTGGAACTCTCGGGTCTTCACACTCCACAGTCGTCCCTAACTCTGGGCCTGACACCTCCCTCGAGTCAGCCCCGGGCCAAGACAGGGAGGGGATAAAGCCCCCTCCGCGCTACCAGTTCGTCGCAGGTCCCTCAGCTCCGGGGCTCGCCACGCTCTGGGGCCTCGCACAGTCCCCGCGACCGGCTGGGCCCCCAGCCGGACACCTGCCGCAATCCCTGCGGGCGCGGGCCCCATGTCTCCCGCCTCCCCAAACGGGGCCCTCCCGACCGCTCCGCACCCGCACTTCCCGCCCGGCCAACACGGGCTCGCGGTCCGCCCCAACTTTTCCGGCCTCGGCCCCGAAGCAGCTGGGATGCCGCGTCCGGAGGTGCGCAGGGCGCCCCAGCACGCTTCCCCCGCCGCCGCCCGCCCCGCCGGCACGAGTTGCGCTCGGGACCCGCTCGGCTCCCGGGCCTCGGTCGCCAGCCCTCCGCGGAGGCGGAGCCGGCGTGGCGGGAACCGCGCTGTCCCGGCGCCGCACCCCGCCGGGTGCCGGGTGCCCCGCGCCGCCCGTCCGCCTCACGCCGTGCCCGCGCCCGCGCGGGCCACCCCCTGCCCACCTGCCGCGGGCGCCGCCACCTCCGCCGCCACTGCCGGGAATACGTGGCAGTGGCCGCCGCTCGCGCTCCCCGCCTCGCCTCTCCTCTCGGCGCCCGCGCGGGCGGCTCCGGCGCGCCGGACCGCAGCGCCAGGCGCCCTCTGCCGCCGGGAAGCCGAATCCTCCCGCCCTAACCCTAACGCTCGCCCAAGCCGGCCGGGCCTCGGCCCCGCTAGCCCTCCGGCCCAACCGGGTCCGCCAGCCCCACCGGCCCCCAACGCTGAATGCTGAGCGGGGTCTTCGGGACCCGGAAAACTGACCCGCGAACCGTCCGGCCCGCCGCTGCCTCCGGGGAGTCTGCCCTGACAACCCCAGCCGGCTCCGCGCCCTTCCTCCCGCGCCGCGCAGCTGGTGCAGAAGTCAACCCACCCCACCCCCCACCCTGCAGACGTATTTTCTGCTTCTTTGGATGCCTCCCCCACGAGATAACAAAATCGCCGAGGGGGGTGGGTAAGGGAGCAACACCACATGTAGAGTGCTCACCGCTCTCTCTCCTAAGGCTAGGTCAGAGTCCTGCCTGGAATTCCGAAGTGCGCAATAAATACTTGTGGAGGGAGCAAAGGAGTAGAGATTTTTACTGCTCTCTACCCAACTCGGTTTTATGCCACCAGCGGTCAGAAATGCTGGCCTAGAGTTGCTTTTTTGTAAATTACACTTGCACATGTGTGCTCAATTTAGCATAAATAAATGGGACTCTCACAGTTCCTCGCCTCAGACCAGCACCAAAGCTGCACAAGGCCCAGAGCTAAATGTTATTCAGAACTTTAGTGAAACACACTTAGGTTTTAAATCAACCACTTAGAAGCTGGGCAGTTTCAGGAAAGCTAATAAATATCTCTGGACCACAATTATCTCACCTATAGATTAAGAATAAAAAAACCTACTTCGTAGGGTTATTGTGAGAATTAGTTGAGATCGTTCATTGTAAAGGGATGTACACACTCTTGATGTATGCAAATGGGGGTTACTTGTATTATTAATGATCTAACAATGATTTTTTTAAAAAAAAAATGCAACATGTATTATAATAATAGCTGCCTTTTCACCTGTGGACAATCACCTTCCCAGCAAGGTCAGCCCTGGAAGCAAGCCTTTGCCCCTCCCCCCCTACACACTTAGGAACAGGTCTTGGTGTTTATAAGAGCTGTAGAACCCTCTCTTCTACAGATTTTCCACTTGGGCTTCTGTGGTGAATCTCTTCATCAACAAGTGCTTAATTTATGGTTGTCAGAGCCAGTAAACAGATTGAGGGCTCTTGCTGTGTACTGCCCCTTCCCGATTTCTTCCTGTCCTTCTTTCAAACATTCTCTCAAACACAGTTTTACAAGAAGTTGTCTTCCTGGTCCACACAGAAGTGCAGTGACATTCCACAGAGGGACCCTGGCTGCAATCCCAGGGCATTCATTCAGGCTTTCTACACCTCAATCCCATCAGCTATAACACTGAAAGAAGAAATGATCCCAGGAAAAAATGAGACCTTTGAGGGAAATCCCCAGAACAGATAGAGGTTTAATCCAGTTATGGATGAGTTTATTCAGCAAGTATTTAAGGAGTATCTATTTAGTGTTGTAGGTAGAAGAAAGTTGAGGGAAACAGTCATGAGTGAGGTTAAGCCCTTGCCCTCAAAGAAGTTTGAGCTCTAGTAGATGAGACAGGCATGCATATAAATTTACTTCATACTAGAATAGAAGGAATACAAGAACATGGGATGTGGCTAATGTGAAATTAGTAAGCATCACAGTGTGGATTGCCTTAATCCATTGTCATTTTAATGCTATTTTTCTCTAAGTGTTATGTACAAAACTTCCCAAGGCCACTGGTAAAAATTAATGATTTTATGAGGCAAGCAGAGCCATTAATGGAGGATTCGATACCTTAGTAAGGTGACTCCAAATGTTCCTTCATACTCCTAATAATTTACACATTATCTTTGTGAAAGTGCCATAATTTACAACTTAAATTTGCATATCTTGCAATGCAAGTCTTAGAAAGTTCACACTTTATTACAATAATGGCTTCTAATGAAGCATACCTATCAAGGTGCCCTTGTGTGGTCTCTGCCTATGTTGACCTTGTGATTTGCTTTGGCCACTGAGACATGGGCAGATATGATATTTGATAAATGAAGCACTTGTGTCTTGCTCCTTGCTCTCTTGGAATGCTGCCCTAAGGATGCAGTGAAGAAACCTGGTCCAACCACCTTAAAAATGGAAGATCCCAAGGAAAGAAAGACTCACTATCACAGCTGTGCAACCTGCCAGCTAAATTCAGCCACATGACTGAGCCCAGGCAAGGCCAGCCAAAAATAACCCAGCCAACCCCAGAATTTCAAGAAAAAAAAAATTGTTTTAAGTCACTAAGTTTTGGGGTGGTTTGTTATACAACAACAGATAACCAATACATAACATCACTCATAGACATTTCTATACTTACAGTCTTGGCGAAATTCATCTAAGAATTGGTATTCTTGATAGTGTTTTTCTGTCATGAAGCATTCAGTTAGAAGTCACTACATCTAAGCTTAGCAGAGCATCACATTTTATGTAAATGCACTCTCTCAGAGTTCTTTATCAAATGGGTTATTGAGCCTAGAACTGTTCAAAATCCTTTTGCGGCCAACATGACAGTGGGTTGGCAAAATCAGCTTATAAGCTACCAGAAGCTTTAAACATACCTGCTTAGAACGTAAACAATAAGTAACATGGAGGTTGGATGTGTTTATCCCACTTTATTGTCAACTCCTTGATGACAATTAAGATTATTTACAAGGTTTCATCATAGATCACAAAACATCAGAAAAGGAAGGGAAATATGAAATCATCCAACCTACCACCTCATTTTATAGATGAGAAAACTGGGGTAAAGAGAGATAAGAGCCTTACAAATTCCCAGGGTTCTGGATCTAGCTCAGAGCAGAACAGGGTCTTTATACTGTTGAACTATTCTGTTTACCTTTTTGACATTTGTGCTATTAAAATATTCTTCCCATACCCAAATTTCCTTTGCATTTAGGATAAAATCCAAACTCAATATGTCCTCATAACCTGGTGAGTTCTGGTGAAGTTTGCTCCCACAGAGGTGTTCGTTCCACTCTATTGCTCTGCCCTGCTGCCTTTTCTTTCTGTTCCTCAAACTAACAAGCTCTTCTCCACTTCAAGCCTTTTGCACATATTGATATGTGCAAAAACTTCCCAAACTCTTCACTTTGCTGAATCCTATATGTGAGAACCCACTGTAGTTCTGTGGTTACAAGCAATAGAAAGTAATTCAGGGGATAGTATAAACAGGAAAAAAAATATTGGAAAACAGGTAATTCACAATGTCTTCAGCCAAGTTTTAGGAAGGTCAAGAATCAGGATGGCTCCAGAATCTAAGAACAGATAAACATCTTGTCAAGCCTCTGTCACAGAAACAACCTGTTCCAGTTTTTTGATCTTGTATCACTCTGCTGCAGATTTCAAGCCCTGGAAGGAAATCAGCTTGACCAAGCTCAGTCACAAGCCCTCCCTCAGCCAAAGGAGAATGGGATAACTTGAATGAAAGCCCCCAAGATGATTGTTAGGGTGTTGCTACCAGGCCAAAGGAAAGTTGACTGAGGATGACAAAAGCAGGAAACGTCCACAATCATAACCTCTTGGGCCTTACCTTAATTGTCACCTTCTCAGGGAAGCTTTTCTGAACCACTCCATCTGTCACACTCATTGTTTCACCGTTTCTCAACACATTTTCTAGTTACATACTTGTGTGTTAGTTGGTTTGTCTCATATTCTCCTTCCCTCAGAGAAGGGACTGTTAGTCTGCTATACACTACATCCTCACTACCTAGCACAAAACCATGGTTCATAACAGACTCTCAATGAATATTTATAGAATAAATAAACAGACCAACAAGTGAGCAAATGAATAAATAATACAGAACTTATGATACTTCTGACCCGGTCCATGTGACATTAGCTTTGTAAGAATGAATGAGAAAAAGACAAAGAGAATATGATAAGTATAGGTTGTCATTTGCTCTGCCCTGTATGGTGTTGTGGAAAGGACAAGGACCCACACCCAGGAAAATAAGGAAAGATCACCTGTGCATCAGAAATGAGCCACATCATGCTGTGCTGTGCTATTCTTGAGGTCTAAGTTGTATAAGCAGTTAAGTAAGAGCAGAGGAGACTTGCAGTGGTGAAGTCTTATTGCCTAGAATGTTTGCAGAAGGAGAAACCCTCAAAACTGAAATGGGGTTCACGGCCTGGCTGCAACTGCCACTAGCTGAGATCAGCAGTATAAGTTCATAAACCTGCTCCCTCGGCCTCTATTTAGGCCTGGTGGTCCATTCTCGATAGCAGAGTCCCCAGGTTCATCTGCTGATGACTTCAGGTCCTTGAAGATATCTTCACCATTTGGGCCAGATGAGAATAATAAGCAGTAAAGCTAAATATGTTCACTTTGGAAATCAATAAGTATTGTAGTCATGATAGCTTGTGTATTGGGTTTTTTGTTTTAGTCATTTTTTCACAAAATAAAAATTTGACAAACCCAGTGTACCCTGGGGGGAAAAATGTTTTTTTGTGGTTGTTTGTTTTTAATGTTTCTGGCCCACAAAACCTAAAAGCTTCAGAAATTACAATCTCAGAGACCCAGGCACTCCCTGCAAGGGCATCAAGCCCATCAGAAAATCAACTTTTGAAGCAGTAAACATCAGTATATCAGCCATTGTTGTTGCTTTTGTCATGGTGATGGCAATTACATAGCCCCAGCCTGTTTCCTTTCCTGCTTCACACCTACTTGGCCCTCACATTAGGCTAAGAGGCCTCGGTCTGTTAGAAATAATGAAGTGCCTCAAGAAATCAAACACGTGCTCCAAAGTGGGTGAGCAAAGCAAACCTTAACTTCTGGCAGAAAGGCGAGCTAGGAACCCAGTTAGCAAGCCAACTAGGTGGACAGTCCACCTGCTTATATCTGGAACCTAAAGCACAGTTGCCCTTCACTCTGATTGGAGAAGTTGGGGCAGGGGGCAGGGGAGGTTTGCAATCTACGTGATTGGCTAATTTTTGAATTAGGAGAAGCAAAAGGGAAGGGCTACAATTGGATCCAGTTAAGGCTAAAATAGATTTTGAAAATGAACCACCAGAATTTCTTTCTCACAACCCACATCCTGGTCTGTGGGTCAGGAACAGTCAGGCCCTTGGCTCTTTCCGTAAGACCTGGACTTGAGGTCTGGTCAGTGACCAAAGTGGGTGCGGGTACACATATGTGCCTGTGAGTACACTTAGAGCAGTGAGAGTCCTTAGGTCACCAACTATAGGGGAGTTACCTAACTCTAAGAGGATGTTTTGTTTTAACCCTGTT